GGAGAGAGAGAGAGAGGGAGGGAGGGAAAGAGAGAGAGAGAGAGAGAGAGAGAGACAAAGGGAGGGACAGAAAGATGGAGAGAGACAGAGGAAGAGAGAGACAGAGGGAGCAAGAGATAGAGGGGGAGAGAGAGAGGGATGGAGAAAGAGACAGAAGAAGGGAGGGAGACAGAGAGGGAGAGACAGAAAGAGAGACAGAGAGAGAGAATTATTAAAAATCTCTTCTGTCTCATTTTCCCTAAAACGTCAGACTAAAATGCCTCAACTCTGACTGAATCTGTTCCTGAACCTCTGGCGCTCTGACAAATGGCTGCACTCTGTGACGCTCGGGCTCTGGAGTTTTGGCCTCGGTCTGATCCACTCTCAGTTTAAACGGGAACAAGCTCGACACAGAGGAAAGTCAGATTTCAATTTCCATCTGAATGATCTGGGGTAAATATAAGAACAGTTATAGATGGCGTTCCCGGGAATGTCCTGAGAGAGACAGCAGACGGCGCTTTTGTTGGGTCTTGACAAATGAAGTCCAGGTGAAATTCATATAAAAATCCTATTACATTTGTGAATTTTTTGGTTATATTTTTATTTGTGGGTTTAAAGTACAACCTGGTCCAGATTCTTCTCTGAACAGAAGTTTCGACTAAAAATAAGGTGGTTACAGATTTCTGTTTTACATGTCCATGAGACTGAGAGTTCCTTTTTATCAGAAGCTGCACAAACAGAAATGAATTAAGAAAAAGTCCAAGGACCCACGCGTAGTCCGTCAGAATGGGCCTACGCTAAGACAATTTTGTAATAAGGAAAAAAATAATAATCTAAAAAGAGCTCTACCCATTATTTTTCATTTAAATATGGGTGATTTGTCTTGTCCCACTCAGAGGTTATTGGAAAAGCAGTGAAAAAAGAAATGAGACCACTCTGATCAGATACAGCACCTTAAATTGTGTATTTTTTGATCAATGTTATAATCTTGTTTCCTTATCACAAACATACCTATGATGTGGTAATACAGAAAATGCTCCACTGTGTTTTTACAGTTCATACACTTTCACTCGAATCATTTGGATGATTTCAGACCCAGAATTGAAAATCTCTACAAAACAAAGGCTAAAATGTAGCTGTTAACTTGAAAACTAAGGTGGAACAGAGCATTTTAAGCATTGCAGATGTAGACAGACTAATAATAAAGGATTACTCAAATGTGTTTATGAAACAAATCATAACTCCAGGAAATAACAACATTCTAACATGACTTAAAGAGACAGTTTGGAATTTTGGACATAGGACCTCATGTCCTAGTGAGCCAGAGTGTTGGAGACGTGTGGAGACACTTTTTTAAATAGTCCATCCAGTCCTTGTTTTTGCAGAGGTCACTGGTGCTAGGCTAGTGCATGTCAATGGCCATAGTTAGCCTGCCAGTAAAAACAGTTTTACCCACTCCACAAAGCACCCAAAGCAAATCTATTATTACATCAGACTGTCGATGTAAATGTCTGTGTTGATAGAATAATTTTAGAAGTAAAACCAATCTTGCATTTGAAGGATTTACGTCTGAGCAGCAAAAGCGAGTTGTACTTCCTGATAGAAAGCTTGGCAGCGGCGGACTGATATCACCTAGCACCTATTTTAACGGCAAAGTAAAATTCTGCTGCTGCTGAGAAAATAGTCCCTGCAACGATTCATGCGATCCAAGGTTAGGTGTTTTTTTTTTTGTTTTGTATTTGTATTCATTTTCAGACAAAAATGTTTACATGAACATTAACATAGGTCAACATATAACCAAAAAAACAATTCACACACACACACACACACACACACATACGCACATTCACATATTCAGTAACAATGCTTGCACAATACAATTTATCAGTCGCAGGTAAATCAAAGATCCATATTCAGTGAAGATATAAATTTTAAAAAGGGAAAATGGGTAGAAGAGAAAAAAAAAAGTATTATAAAAATTATTATCATCACTAATAACAACAGTAACAATATACATATGCATCGTTCCTATTTTTAGATATGATATTCAAATAAGGTTCCCATAACCTTGCAAAGTTTTTTTTTGTTTTCCCTTTGCTATAAATGTCAATCTTTCAAGGCCGATACATTCTGAAAGTTCCTTAATCTACTGTTTTGTTGAAGGGGCTTGAATATTTTTCCAGTTCAAGGCGATGGCTCTTCTGGCACGTAATAGTCCAAAGTCCAGTATTTTTGCTTGTTTTTTGTAATAAACCTAATGGATGCAAGATTGGTTTTATTTCTAAAATCATTCTATCGACACAGATATTCACATCGACAGTCTGGTGTAATAATAGATTTGCTTCGGGTGTTTTGTGGAGTGGTTAAGACTGTTTTTAGTGGCAGGCTAACTATGGCCATTGACATGCACTAGCCTAGCACCAGTAACCTCAAGGACTGGACTGAATTTTAAAACGTCTCCAACACTCTGGCTAACTAGGAAATGAGGTCCAAAATTCCGGACTGTCCCTTTTAAAGCGTAAATTTGGTGTAATATAGGGTCTTTAAATGGAAGGAAACCACAGTAAAATTAAGATAAACAAGTCAACTATGTGATCAAAATGTAGATAAATCACTAAAACATCTAAAAAAGGAGAAAATTCTGAAAAGAAAAAAAAAATCTAGTTAATCTGCCGTGCTTTTCCCACACACTTGGAGAAACAGCACTGAGTTAAGCAGACTGCACCAAGTAGAGCAGAGAGCGAGAGCCACAAGTGTAACTAATGTGGGCCAAATTAGCAGAGCTCCAGGCCAGGGCTCTGCTGGGAGTCCTCCACCACCACCACCACCAGCACCACCCCGGCCGCTTGACTCATCCACCAGGGAGAGACTGAGAGAGGGGAGGTGTCGTCTGGGAGGAGAATGTTAAGGAAGATGTATGATGTTTGTGTAACAGGCAGTGACTCACTGTTTATCAGGTTAAAATGAAGGATCTAGGGAAAACTGAAGGGAGTTTTGGAATCGGATGAGGGTTTTTTTCAAGCAGAACTGAAGTTACTTTGGATTTTTTGAAAGAAATATCCAGGCAGAAAATCCACAAAACTGTTTTCTTTTTGTCAGGTATTAGGTCCACAAACTGACCGTGATTAAATGGGGGCGATAGAAGCTCAATTGATAAAGTGTCCACTGATCTGAAGGTCAGCACTTTGAAACCCTCTTAACGTGAACATCATTGGTTAAGTGGTCAGATCCACAAACCCACAGGTTGGCAGTGTGATTCCAGGTCCTACAGATAAATGCTGCCTTTGTGTCCTTGGGCAAAACACTTCACCCCCAGTGTCTGCTTAAACTGTTGTATGAATGTGTGTGTGAATGTGTGAAAGATTCCTTGATGTAAAGCGCTTTGAGTGATGGCGGGATGTTGAAAAGCACTACCGTATTTTTCAGACTATAAGTTGCACTTTTTTTCATGGTTTTGGGTGGTCCTGAGACTACTCCGGTGCGACTTATATATTAAAATTTTCACACTGAGAGCCACGAGAGGGCGCTCTAGGCTTGTGTGTCAGTATCTGCTACTCCTATTACTCCTGTACTACTGTCACTTGGCTCTACTGTGCATGTCTCCTGCATGTGTCCTGCTGCAAGTTGCAAAATATGTATCCAACAGCAGCAGAAAGAAAGTTTGGAATGAGCGAGAAACTTGAGAAAGAGGTAATGGAGAACACACCTTCATGGTAACTAGGAGGGCGCGCCATGCAACTTTCCTGGAAGTCAATGGATGGATCGACAAAGCCTGGACTTCAGTGACACCGAAACCATCCTGTCGGGATTCAGAAATGCTGGAATAATTCTAACTGGAACAGATGCTGAGTCTGACAACAGCTACACAGAAGAGGAAGCGGCGCTCTGTTTACCTCCGGAGGTCGTAGAGTTGCTCAGAAATGACACCGTGGATCAAGAATTCAATGGATGTAGTGATTTGGAGTGAGATGGAGAGTTTGGTAAACTTGTTCTGTTGTTTATGCTATAATTATCTAAAGAAATGTTCATATGTGACGTTAACAGCCTGTTGTTCTCTGTTCTATTGTTATTACTGTAACTTCTATTTCAAGATGAAATGTCAGTTCCTGGTCTCTGATTTTATAAAATAAATTTCCCCCCCGAAAGTGTGACTTATGTTTTTTTCTTCTTCATTACACATTTTTTGGCTAGTGTGACTTATACTCTGGAGCGACTTATAGTCCGAAAAATAAGGTATATAAAAATGTGACCATTTACCATTACTGAAAAAATAGTTTGGGTTTGGGTTTTTGGTTTAAATTGTGTCATCTGATCTGAAATTGTGTGTTTATGCTTTCATATATAGTTTGTGCTATTATATTATTAGATTTATATTGCTGTTTTACTATGTACTGTTTTCACCACTTTCTTGTCTTCATGCTTGCGATGTTCCACAGTGTGCCATTAAACTAGTCTTTATTCCATAACAGTTGTGTGTATTTCAAAAAAACAAAAAGAAATAAAAACACAAAAGATTCTCACCTCTCCACGGATCTGTCCTTAGCCTGGTGGCGCCACATGGGCATAATTAAGTTTTAAGCTGTACTGTGAAGCATTTCTAACAATGCAATAATAACTCCATGTAGTTAAATAGATGGTGGACTACAGTGCAGCTTTAATCTTAAATATTTATTTTCAACATGTAGTTTTGAAAGCCATGTTTACACAATTTACAAAACGATGTAAAACTACACTCCTCCTACAACTGGTTGTATGACTCTGGAGACAATAAAGGATGATTCACTGGGTCACTGAAGTAGTAGAAATAGATTTTGTTTGCGGGTTTGTCTGACTGATTTAAAGCTTTCATAATTATGCCACTTCTACAAAAATAAACACATTACATCACAAAAATTTCGTAGTAGCTTTGTCTGTCTGTTACTGTACTCCACTCCAAATGCAGTGTTATTTCTGAACTGTGAAAAGCTTACCTCAAATATGTAAAAATGTATGGAGTATAATCTTGTTTCTCTCTTCTCCAGCCCCCATGAGACGGTGGTCCCCCTGCAGGACCCCATAGTGACTGAGGTGACGTCCACGCTGCAGGAATGGGCCGTTCTATGGAAGCAGCTCTACGTGGTAAGCCTCTTTACATAAACCTCTTTCTGTTACAGTAGATAGTGGGCTGGATGTCACGCTACATACATGAACCCCATTGAGCTGTGAGATGCGTGGAGAGTTGTATTAAGTGTGTTTAGTGCCTCTGGTAAGTGTCTGTAGGGCTGATTGACAGAGCTGTGGCTGCCAGTGGCTTCTGCGCTCGTACAGTTTCATTAGCATATTAATATAAGCTATGCATGTCTCTAGTGCAGGCTTCTGAAATAGTCGGAAAATTATTTAAACACTGGATTCCATTTTTTAGAATTCAGCTTTCCCACTTATGTTTCACATGCCCAGAAGCTTAATAGTTTCCTTGTGTCAGATGGTCGACAAAATAGAATATAGGAGGTAACTTTCTGCAGTGTCACGTCATCTCTCCAACCCAATCCACTTTATTTCTATAGCACATTTCACAAACAAACAGTTTCCAAAGTGCTGCACAAATACATAATAATAACAACAATAATAAAATGATAAAATAAAGGCTCAGATTTAATCATACTAGTCTTAAAATTAAAAAAACGTAAAATAAAATAAGAGCAAAATCACAGAATAGCAATAAATAAAGCCAATAAAATACATAAAAATACATTGGTATGATTATGTGGAAACAGGGAGTTAAAACTATACTTGGGAACATTCTCTATGGAGATGTACATTTTATACCGTACTGTGCAAGTTTAAAGCCAAAGGAAAAAACATTTCCAACATTTTGTGCTTGCATTTTGATGTAAGCCCGACTGCTTAGGCAGAGGTGGGATCAAGTCGTCGTTTTGCAAGTCTCATGTAAATCTCAAGTCTTTGACCTCAAGTCTGAGTTAAGTCCTAAGTCAAAGAAAGGAAAGTCCAAGTGCAGTCTCGAGTCACTGGCCCATAAGTCCAAGTCAAATCCAAGTCATGGAATATTTATATATGAGTATTTATATAAGAGATGTAGAAATGATCTTTTTTTTTCCTTTTTAAATGTCTTAATAAGATCTTAGTGTGAATCATTACGGTCACAATAGAATGAAAGAGATTTTAAATGTCCAGTTATTTTATCGTGTAGTCTGCACTGAAATAGAAGGATCATTCTCTGTAGTTCCCTCTGTTTTACTCTATTGCACTGTATATTACTGTAGTACATTTGAGGATACTGTCTCACAGTACTTCAGTTACATCCAGTAGGTAACATCATAAGTAACAAACAGAGAAGTGGGAGGGACATGTTCCAGTTTGTTCCTTTTAAAATTCAGCACCGCATTTATCAACTGTAAAGAGAAAAGTATTTTCTAGAAACATACACCGGTGTTTTTTAGGAGAAGCATCAAGTCACAGTGCTCAAGTACGAGTCACGTCCCAAGTCATTGACCTTCATGTCCAAGTTGAGTCTCAAGTCGTAGTCCATTTTATCAAGTCAAGTCTCCAGTCCTAAAAATAGTGACTCAAGTCTGACTTGAGTCCAAGTCACAACTTGCAAGTTCCCAACTCTGCACTTAGGACACATGTTTTTCTACATTTTTCAGAGCACTAACCACAACCAAAATGAAAATAAATAAATAAAAATAAATAAATAAATAAAAATGACTAAAAAAGGACCTAATATGAAGGTCTAGTGGAAATGCCCTAAATTCAGGTAGAGTAGGACCAAGTAGGGCAGGTGGAAATAGTGTAGCTCCAGTACTGTCTGAAAGAGATTAAACTGCCAATCTTGTGGATAATGAGCCAGTCTCTCTTTTTTACTTTACAGTGCTAAAATATATATTAAAAACATTTAATTAAAAATGCTAATTAAACAGCAAAATGTACATGGTTCACCTCAGGTCAGGGTCCTGTCCTCTCAACTGTTCTCATGTCTATTTATATTTATATACCATACCCAAGTGCACCATCACACACTTCCATATGTGCTTCTATTAGATGTTATTCACTGACACGAGCTTGAACCATGTCCTGCTCCTCTGAGACATGACAACAACACTGAGTCCATGTGGTGAAAAACATGTCCTGCAGTTGCACCGCAGCTCTGTCATTCACTGTCATTGTATTGTGTGAACATTGCTGGGTCTTCAGGGAGCTGTGTCTCTGCATAAGCCCCAGGAGGTGGCTCTGTTCTGGGGTGAAAGGAAGAGGAAAGGAGGAGGAGATGGAGACTTGTTTGTGTGGTTGTTTTAAGGGCGTAAAATAGCTCTTAGCTGGTAAACATGTGTGCAGTAAATGATTTTGAATGTGCACAATTAATCACTGATTCAACATTAGCCTAGAGTGCCAGTTGTTTTCATAATTATTGTTGTGCGTTTTTTTTTTGTTTTTGTAGATATTTCTTTATCTGAAGTTGTGTTTTGTGTCATTACATTTGTAAAGATACATGTCACTTTTGAAGTTCTCAGGTGAATTGTTTTAGCCTTAGTTAAGTATGACGTATTTAGTCGAATTGACTTTAATGAATGGTGATACACATATTATTTAGTCGTTTCAGGTTGCATTTTTGACCCAAAGGTTTACAGATGGGGCCAGCAGTGCTACTATTCATTAGTTTTAGGTCAATATAATAATGCACTAAACTATATACCAAGTAAAAAGCAAATATATTTCTGTAGTATGGGCTCTGATAGTTTTAAAATCTGAAATCTGCTAATGCTATGTCCAAAAAGACTTGTCAAATCTATCAAAAATCAGACACTAATCAGTACTAAAACTAGTATTGAAACTCATTTGTGAAGCTTTAGAATGATCTTGAGCTGTATCAGAACAAGTATAAGAGCACACAGGCTACGTTCAGACTGCAAGGTTTAATGCTCAATTTGGATTTTTTTGTGAAATTGGATTTTTCTGCAAGGTTCGTTCACACTTCCATTTCAATGCGACTTGTACGTGATCTCCAGTGTGAACTTTAAATTCCCCAAAAGTGTCCCACATGCGCATTGGAGGACACAACGACGTCAGATGCAGCAAGCGTGCTCAGTGTTTACGGAAGTAGCCGAAACACTGGGCTTGTCTCTGAAAATATGGTCCAGTTCTTCGTAAAGTGGACAGGTTACACATCCATGGCTGCTTTGTTTGAGTCTTTATCCTGCTTGTATCTGGCTCACTCTCTCTTTGGCATTGGAGCCAGGACCACCTGTAGCCACGCTCTGCCATTTCTTTGGCAATCATTTCAAAAACTGCCCAGTTCCAATAAGACCCCTCCAATTTAGCCTGAATACAGTGACCCCCCCAAATAGTAATAAACTTGATAACCTCATTTTATCTCCATTGACTAGACTCCAAGCTTGACTTGTGGGTCACATGAATGCGATCTGGCCGTTCAGACTGAAGCCGCATATCAAAAGATCGGATATGTATCGATTTTAGAAGCACATATCCAAGTGGCCTGGGTTGTATTAGAAAAAATCGGGTCTGTGTTGTTCAGACTGTCATTAAAAGATCAGATACAGATCACATAGGGGCCAAAAAATTGGATTTGGGTTACTTCAGGCTACAGTCTGAATGTAGCCATAGACTCATACATGCCCATTGACCACTATGGAACCTCCCTGGACCACTGAGGGATGTTTTTATTATCATCGTAGTATCAGAATCAGGATTGAGTATCGAGTCTATTTCTTAGTGTTGAAATCAAGTTTGGAGTCAGATTTTATTTACATGACCTTCAGAGTGACCGTCATTTTCATTACAGTAAACTATTAACGATGCGTGGAGATAAAATCAGCCCAGTCTGGACATGGGTAGCTGTTATGTTTCCTGTCATCATGTTTATATCTTCATTCCTCCATCCTTCTTTCCTGGTCACATCCCCGCCTCGATAACAGCCGTGGGTCATGGTATAGAGGCGTGTGATGTGTAATATAAATGTGTGAACATGAGGAGGGAGGCAGGGGCAGAAGGAACAGCCCCAGTGCACTGACAGAAAGATGGGAAATAGTTTAATAATTAACACTCAAATTCAACCTGGTGGAGAGGGACAGTGGGTTAAAGGGCCCATTTTACGCTGTTTTATAAATGTGTTAAAATATGTTATAATGTTTCCTCATCAAAAATAGACCTGGAGTTGTGTTTTGTTTCATTCACACATGTTTAACCACAAACCCTGCATATTTAGGCTGAGTTCTTCTCTGTTATACTTTGTGATGTCATGTGGTAATACAGGAAGTGCTCCATTGTGTTTTTAAACTGCACCGTTATGAGTCTGGTGATACGATCATGCTATGATGACATGATACAATATGTCCCAATACATCCCAATACTAAAACAAAGGACAATATATTGTGATTTCTCAATAATTACTTCTAATAATATAGTCATGTACACCAGACATGTCAGATTTGGTATGATTATATATGACCCGCGAGCTCATGTTAAATATGTATTAGAGCTGACCCGCTGGCTGCCGTGCCAGTACGCCGCATGCACTGCTAATACCACTACTACTAATACTACTACTTTGATGAACTTGTTTCTAAGAAGAGATGCCATGTGTTTGTATCTGCTTTGGACCCATGTGCATCAGAGTAAATCACAGTCTAGCAAACTGAGCTTGGATTAATGTTTTTTTGACTTTGCCTTTTTTTGACTGTTCATAGTTGAAAGATTGGATTTTCATTGAAGCAAGTTGTTATTTTTGACTGGTTGTTGGCTTGTGAAAAAAAGAAAATAAATAAATAAAGGAGTTCAAAAGCTACTGTACTATATTATGCTTGTTCTGGTTTCAAAGGTTAAGCAAAACTACTATTAAATTTGAATAATTTGAATAAGAAAAGGTTTAACATTACATATCTCTAAAGAAGAGAAAACATGCAGATATTGTTGACATTTTTCAATAAATATTTAGTTTGGCCCACGACTTAGTCCCAGTTTTTCATTTTGGCCCTCCACCTTCACAAGCACAACATTTGATTACATGAATATTTTTATTTTTAAATCATGAGAACAGTAAACGTAACTCTGGAATTTTTTAATTTTTGTTTTAAAAAATCGATTTGGACACATTGTGCAATGT